CTCAACTGGTTCCACGATCATACTTCCAGTCAACTCCTCATACTGACAAACAACCGTTCCGGGAACAATGGTCTCATGCCCAGCCGGTATCTCCCTAGTCCTTGTCACTACCACTCTGCCTTAATTTTCATTTGGGTTGCAAAGTTTTATGTGAAAAAAGCGACATGAAAAGGGCAGGTTTTGGCGATTCGCCGAGTGTGGTTGCACACGGAAATGCCTCGTGGCATGCGTGGGGCTTTCTTGTATTGTGCGAGTCTGCGTTCGTGTACATGAACATACAGGGTATGCATAGCAGTTAGCACCGTACGCATAGCATGCCTGTCTTTCAGGAGTTGTGCAGCCACGATGCTGCCTGCTGGTACCAGAAATTCGCCCTTTTAGAAGTCCCATTCAGTGAGTTGATAATGTGAGAATTCTAAAAAGGGAAACCTGATAATAATGAAATTGAAAGACAGAAATCTGGGGAAGTTATCATTTTATTGTGTTAATGTCAGACATTCACCCCAAAATTCAAAGTCATCCCCATATCATAGTTCTAATTTGGTGGTGTAAACCCGTGCTTGAAGAGCTACTTGTGCATGTGTACATGAAGATTTCTGTTCTTCAAAATAAGAACAATTTGTTTGAAAAAAATTGTTGAATTTGCTGCAGAAATGCCAGAAATATACCAGAAAAGAGTGAAGAAAAACTACACCGTGATGGGAGAGCAGGGCAGAGGAAAATTAAAGAGCGGCTAAAACTCACAAGCCAGAAATGAATCAGAAATGGAAACTCATGTCCAGATTAATGCTGGATTGTGTCTGTATTTTTAAGTGGTACATTTGCTGAAAAGATCCCTTAAAGAAATATTTGTGTAATTCATTGCAACGTTTGAAATCAACAGAAATGAGTAGGGTGTTTATTATGTAATTATTGCCAAGTCTCATTTGGAGTTTTTAAATTGTTTATTTATGAAAATTGTTTATTTCTTTTGTCTGTTGTCTATTAAAACCTTCAGAGGTTGATTTTTTTTCTTTTTATAAAACAGCTCTTATAACTTTTTGTGGACAGTAAACATGTCAATTGGAGCTTTTATCGGGGACCAATTATTTTTGTATGAAAACCTTCACGATGCAATGAACACTTAAAGTAATTATTGCTGCCAAGTTCAAGACGAAACCAACTCTCACAAATTTACATGTCTAATAATGCTGGATTTTGAATAGGGAATTGCCATTGGTGGTATGGGTACTGTATTAAAAAATGCATCCCATAAAGGCCATACACGTTCATTTTGCCATGCCATTTTGCCCTGTCAGAAAAATCAGAAAAACCACTGAACTGAAACTCTTGTTATCTTTTTTTGGTAGTGTGATCATTTTCTAAAGTGATTTGGGAGCGTAGTCAAACTAGGCCTTAATGGCACCAGTAATTACACAGAACCTAATTTTGTGCCATGCACATTTTGTTTGGCCTGTTTTGTGGATATACATGTACATTGTACATGTATTAAGATCGGCAGCATAGCCATCGACAGCTAGGCCATGGCTCATTGCCAAGATAGGACAGTGGAAACTGGGCACCGGTGGCTTGCCACGTTTGCGTAGACCAATGAGACTTATCCAAGAGACCGGGCGGGAGGGGTTCGTGTTCATTATTGGGCGACTATTGTCAGGAGAGTCGAGGTCACTAAGTATCACCAGTATGAGACTGCAGAGCCTGACACATTTGCTCTTTTATATTCACTTAGCAGCTTATGGGGTAATGTAGGCCATGAATTATGGTCAGACAACCTTAAATAACTTTTAGTGTAGTTATTTTCAGAAAACCCAACATTTATGGATAGAGGAAATAATGACTAAAGAAATAAATACCTGTATAGGCCTACGGTATAATTATAACAAAACCTACTTTAGAAGAAACAAAATCACGCTTAAAATGAATTCAACAATAATTAAATGCATCTGAAACGTCTGGATAGCGCAGTGTTAAACAAAATCATCACAGTGATTTGGAAAGTAGCGTTTTTAATACCTTCAGTGGAAAGCTTCCACTACTATACTTTGGAAGGCCAGTGAAGTTCTACAATTTTTTTTTCCCTCTCCACGATTAAATATATTTTCTGACCTGTATCATTCTCTCAAAGTGCATGGGAAAAATTACGTCAATCTAAAACTCAATAAAATCTAAGAAAGTGTAGCGGTGCTGTGTGGCTCATCGCTGCGGTGGTAGAGCGCTTTTGTCCCCGGTGGTAATCCGCTCACACTAAATGCCACAAACCGTTGTATACTGTTTCAAAACAAGGCTGGATTATCTCCACTATTGAGAGTGAAAAAATGTCGGTAATGCCCAGCAGCCTGGTCTTTTGTTACAAGGCCCAGTTCCCTTTGTCCAATTTCAGAGACCCCGGCCACGCGTATATATACACAATGCCTGAAACTGGAGCCCTGGCGGCAAGTGGTTAACAAAGGAGCTTAGACTGCAAGCAAAATTCAGTGTTTTGTTGATTTATTGAAAATCAGTAAAGAGACTTTACACATCTCATTTTTTCTTTAAGCTGCCTTTAATACTTCTTCAAATGGATTCAGATTTCCTGTGTTCATAGTCCTTTTCAGAGACCTCAACAACAATTGTATTGAAAGAAAAATTTCATTATGAAATTGTGTAATGGCTTGTTGCTTAACTGCATTAAATGAGGGCCAAAGAGGACCAAAACCATAAAAAATTTGTACATAAAATGAAACTTTACTGTCAGTTATATTATATGAACAAAACCTCTGGGGTAAATCCTGTGTTTAAAACAATTCCTTTTTGAAAAAAAATCCTTTTTGCAAAAACCTATTTTTTCAAAGATTCAAGATGATGCACTTCAGCAAGGTAGACACGCGCAAAATACGTACGTGGAGGCGTGGACAGCGTACGTGTTTGGAGGGGTTACATCTAAAATATTTACTATTTTTCTTGTCCTACATTTTATATGAAATAATTTGAAAACTTTAAATAAAACTTTGCCGGCTAATAAAATGTCGTACGTCACTGTATACTTCAACTCATTCCGATTAATTTTGAATTCTTTCCTTGCAGTCATCAGAGTCATCCTTGACATGCTTGAAATTCCAAACCATCAGCTCAGGCATCTCGGCTGGCATCTCTGTAACTGCTCCAATTGGAAAAAAATAAATATAATGTGAACATACTACCACAAAGTTGTGAAAATAATGATTGGCAGGTTTCTCCGTATTTACAGATTTACAAAGGCATTCTTCATCATGTGTCAGAATCACTTCACTTCAAAATTAAATAAAAAAAGATACTTCCTTTGA